ATATTATAATTATATTAGATATTTCGTGCCAAACCTTATCAAAATATCATACAGATTATATACTTTTTGTGTGAATGCACATTTACAGACCTGGATCAATGCAGCACGAGTTCTGGGTTGTAATGCCCCTACGTATGAGCTTAATCACCCCCAGCGCAAACCAAGAAGTGGGCGTGAGCGGATGGTAGGTCAAGCCTAATGATTCGCGATCAAGTTCATTTACAAGCTTTAAAATTGTGATGGTAAAATAAACGGAGCCTTTTCAGGCCAGGAGTACACCTATAGATTGCAACTATCTCATCGCGCTTATAAGAAGTCAAAAGCCAATTGTGACTACTATTGTAAGCGCAACGACACAGAGACTGGAGAATTCAGTCTGGTTATGAACATTTTGAATTTTATTCGGAAAATAATTGAATAGCTGAAATATTTGTTCCAAGCAGCGACAAAAGGGGCCCGGTTGCTGTAACCTAATACTGCGATAGAAAAACACGGCATTTCCGATCTTAATAAAGAGCCCTACACACGTTCCAACATAATCATTTAGCTAGTAGTCATAACGTCCTTTCATCGCGTGATTCCACTTGAACGAACACAATCATGTAGGCTATGTGTTATTCAAAAAAAACCTCCAAATAAGGGGTCACACTAACCTTACTGACACTCAGAAGAAGATGACACATTTCAGGAGAATACGGAGTAGAAAAAATTGCTGGCAAGAAGATACGGCACAGCTAGAACGACGTACCCTTCCTCGCAGATAATATAGCTGAGCCATATCAGAAGATGAAGGGGAGGCTGTTAGACTGGATTCGCACTGATCAGCAGCGCGGAGAACCTCATCTAACCGCTCCTGAATAAGTGCAGGCTTGGAGTTGAACGCTTGGGCAACCTGACGAATCAGACCGGTTAGATGCTCCTGCAGATCGACGTTTTGCGATGGTTGAAGGATGCTGACAAGGTCCGACTCCTTCCCAGAGAAGAGGTTACCATCAAGACTGCTGGAAAGGTAAGTATCACGAAGGACATAGAGGTCTTGGACTTGTTGGCGCAGCTGAGCACAAGGATCAGTCGCGAGCATTTCGGACAGACCACTGCTGTCACAGTAAGCAGGGTAGTAAGGTCTAAGAATACAAGTGAAAATGTTCACAATACTACAATTGTTCGGAGGAAAAAGGAAGGGCTAATTTTCGGGACAGTTGCAAAGAAGTGCATATGGAGGTGAAGTGAAGACCCAACCATGAAGGAACTACTACGAATTACAGTAAATATGGACTAGTTAGTAATCTTCACAGACATTCAAAGAAGACAATGCGCTTAAAAATAAAATAGTAGATTTATTGTCATGATGTTCCAAAATTACAAACGGATGGTAGGAAAGGCGATCTGAACCAACAGCTAATAAAAAAAACAAGGAGAAATTTGCATACTTAATGATGCAAAACGTCTAAAAGCACAAATTTCCGGCTGCAAAAGCGATCAAACGAAAAACATTTTTATTGATTATAAAAAGCATACAAAAATAACTGCCACACATCATTCAGGAACTTTAACGTTCTTTATATGTTCAGATTCATCCTGGTTCCAACTTGCGACAAGGTCACTTTGCCTTTGCCTCAAGTCAACAAGAGAGACTTCAAATGAGTTGATCATAGACGCAGCACGATCTATGGCTGACAGATCTTCGGATTTGTGGGTTGCAGAACTTGGAAAAAACAGGGGAGCACTAAGAACGGCAACTTCTGTCGACTTTTGTAGGGCTGATAGAGCAGCTTCAATACAATAAGCAATGTCGGCGCAACGAGCAAGACCATCCTTCCACGACGAACGCACGGAAACTAGCTCGTCCTGATATTTATCTAAATCAGGTCGCTCTTCTATGTTTTTCAGCAGAGTGCAGTGAGTTTCACTCAGCTTTTCAAGAGATGCGAGCTGAAATTCGAGATCCAAAAGAAGCTGGTTGACGACGGCGACCGAGGCATCTACCTGCAACTGAATGGCAGAAAATGTCGGTGGCACAGATGAGAGAGTAGTACGCTTATCCTCGAGGTCACTTAATACGGCAGTAACCGAAGTGGTGGAAAACAGGAACAATGGAGGGCGTCTAAGAGCTGTCAGTACAGGAACGAATGTGACACCGCGAAAACAGTGACGAATAAAATGAAACGACCTGTAGAACCTCCAGATCCTA